ACAAAAAATTTGGGCCCGATCGGTTCAGCCGTTTTGACGTTTATTGGATACAAACAGACAAACAAACAGACAGACAAGCCAAATTTATATATAGATATAGGTTGCAAGGAAATGCATTTCTAATCTTAGCTCCACCATAAAGCTTAGATCCGTACACATTATTGGATCGTATATTAAAGAGGAGGAGGGGGGGGGGGTAATACAACCACCATTCGCCACGGGGGGTGTTATAATTGCCTTGCACCCCCTAAATATCCCCAAAAAGAAATCCTTAATCCGATTTATGTTGTCCGAGCTTGAACTAATCCCCACTCAAAGACCCAGGGTGGAAATAGGCCGGGATATAATGGATAGAAAGGATATAAAGGATATAAGGGGGGTTCTTGCTTCACTTAACTGTAATCTCACCAAAATAACCCCAGTTTATACTATAGATCAGAGAATACAAGTTATCATACAAAAATAGCGGTTAAGTTTAGTTTTCTCCACTTAAGTACAGATTACACTGATTTAAGTTTAAATTCGATGGATTAAACTTCAATCTCAGTAGGTTTTGAGGTAAAATCCCGCAAAAACATGAGATTAATCCGGAATTACGAGGGCTAACAATCAATAAACGATATAGGCTAAAAAAAGAACCGGAAATTTGTAAACAGGAACTAGAGTATTTGAGGATTTAATAATGTTATTTTTAGTAATTTCTTTTTCCTTGAAACTCATTGAGTTTTAAACAAGGAATATATAAAGGCACTGTTTACTTGATTTGAACAAGGAATATGTAGAGGAACCATATATTTGAGTTTTAAACAAGGAATTTATAAAGGAATCATATACTCGAGTGTTGAACAATGAGTATGTCAAGGAACAGTATACTTGAGTTTTGAACAAAGAGTATGTCAACGAACTGTATACTTGAGTTTTGAACAAGGAATATGTCAAGGAACTGTATACTTGAGTTTTGAACAAGGAATATGTCAAGGAACTGTATACTTGAGTTTTGAACAAGGAATATGTCAAAGAACTGTATACTTGAGTTTTTTAACAAGGAATATGTCAAGGAATCTTGGGGACATAAATGTCCCAGTTTAGAAACTTGATCTCTATTCTCCATGTCCATGATTACCATTTAAGAGGAAAAATATAAACATTTTTTTGGCGCTTTAAAGTTCAAGATTATTAAGAATTAAATTTTAAAAATTAAGACATTTTTCTCTTTTAATATAGTGAAATTAACATATATACATATACATATAATATATGCACAATGATTGAAATAAATCCAGTTGTTTTTACAGAAAAAATGTAGTCAATGTAATCAGTGAATATATCATAGGTGTCCACTATAAATAGAGACTTAAATTGGATTTTGACTTTAAAAAAATTTCATGAGAAACACTAGCTCCAAAGAAAGTCTCTGTGCATGTATATAAATATTTTTTTGATGTTTCTTATGTAGAACCTACCAAAAAGCATTAACATCTACTCCTCTTTCATTTCCTTAATCTTCTTTATGATGAATATTCTTCAAAACACTGCAACTAATTTGTTCCTTGGGCACAAGTGGCTGATCATCGCGGATTTTTCATATTGGTGGATTTGCTATTTTATAAGCTGTTTAAAAAGTCTCAATTTATAATGTACAAACCTTTAAAGTATAAATTAAGTCAGGTGAAAGCTGAAAGGTGGTAAGGAAGCCTTTTATTTGATAGAGGTTATTAATCCCATAAATTATTTGGAAATTGCAATAAAACCCAGAT